GAAACGTCTAACACGTGTACAATAATAATAACAATAATAAATACAAATTTAAAGTACAGAATTGGAAAACAGTACATACAGAAAGAAGTGGTATGGCAACTCGAACTGATGTACATACGTACGAAGTTCTACGTTGTGACTGACTGACATACAGAAAGAAAGATAAGCAACCAAACTTTGCTTTAGATCTTTCTGATTCAGTTCTATGGAACAATCAAAAACAGAGCCAACAAGTACAGTGCATTAATGCCCAATATGTAATAAGAATGAAGAAAACAATATTAAATATATTTATATACATATATATAGTTGCGTGTAGATAGTATTGAAGAAGTTGATATATTGAATTGCCCATATCAATATATTCACGTATACTACTAAAATAAATGAATAGGGGAATAATTAACTTGAGATATCAAAAAAGACAGAGGAATAAAGCATAACAGTAACCAAATAGTGATAAGTATGTATTTATTTGAATACATAAATATTGGTACAAGAAAACACCAGATACACATGCGCCGCACAAATCTCATTCGATTTGTGTGAGGGCTGTGATACTGACCTGGTGCCCAAACTGAAGCAGGTGGTTTTATTAGGGGGCCACACCCCGAGCCTTTGACCTAAAGATCTGATCCACAAGGCAGTGGAGCATCGTCAGTAGATGCAGTCCCATGGTAGCCAGTGACCAACAATTGGTTCATACGCCATTTGTTTCCTCAGGATACTGGAGCCCACGTGGCAACCATGGTTTGGAATCAAGGTTTTCCAACTCTCCTAGGTGGACTTTCCGTGTCCACCAACCCAGTTGAAGCGCTGGACATTCGCTTTTCGTCCTCTCGATTTCGTAAACAACACCCCCGCTGAGAGAAGACACTGAGTAGGACTTCCTCGGTAGAGGCTATATACGCGTGGCCATATGAGAGCATTTCGAGAGGGAGAGAGCGGACTCTCCCCCCTCTCGGCCGTACCAGCGCATTCGGGGGCAAATAGTGATAAGTATTTGAATTCAAACAGCTTTTACTCTGTTACCTATGTGGCATCGGTTGATATGTCAAGCCCATATACCTTATTCTTACTTCTGGGCAAGTCAATTCACCTATCCATCATGAGTTATGTTTCACCTTGTTAATTATTCACTTATCAACCCCGACTATTTTTTATATGAGCGTAGGTGTGTGTACACTTCTTATCCTATTTATCACATGTCTGTCATTTATTCTTATCTGACTATAAATACTGATTAACGCTTGATAAAAGTGAGTTGGCTTACCCGCCATCTCCAATGCGTGTCATTTTTTTCCGCTCGCTGATATTTACTGATGTGCTTATAACATTGGTGGATTGGTGGACACGGAGGGTCCACCTAGGGGAGTTGGAAAACCCTGATTTCAAACCAATGGTGCACATGGGCTCCAGTATCCTGATGGAACGAATGGCGGAAGAACCTGTCATTGGTCAACGGCTACCATGGGACTGCATCTCCTCACGATGCTCTACTGCCTTGTGGGTCAGATCTTTAGGTCAAAGGCTCGGGGTGTGGCCCCCTAAGAAAACCACCTGCTTCGGTTTGGGCACCCGGGCAGTATCACAGCCCACACACAAATAAATGAAATGATGAATTCTATTGACGATAATATCCCTGCTCATACTAAAAGCAAGACAATTTACATTATTATTATCTTTATTATTATTATTATTATTATTATTATTATTATTATTTACCATATCGCTAACTCACCCCCTTTTATCCTCAATTTGTGTAACCTTACTTTCCAACTTATGCAGCAGCTCGCCCATGGTGGAAAATCTGTCCTATCTAAACGATCTACAGTCACTGTCTGGTTGAAAGTGAATGCTTCCACCGATTACGAATACTGAAGCAGTCTTTCTGAAACCACGTACGCCGTCCAAGCTGGCTTCCTTCAACGTTCGCACACTAATGCAGATCGGACAACAGATGGGACTGGCTATATCTTTAGAAAGTCTTAATGTTGATGTTTGCTGTCTATCCGAGACCCGTATTCAAGACTCTAGTGAAGTACTACAAATCCGCTCTCCATCTGTCGCCTCGAAAAGCTTGTTCCACGTGCGCTTATCCGGGGACCCTGTGGCATCCTCGTCTGGTCTTGCTGGCGTTGGTGTCGCACTAAGCGCTAGGGCTGAGGCAGCACTAATCGATTGGATCCCCATTAACAGTCGGTTATGTGCTGTTAGATTAGAAAGTTCCATCAAAGTGAGAAGAAATCGGCGTGAGAAACGGTGTCTTTTCGTCATCTCCGCCTATGCCCCGACAGATTGCAGCCCGGATGCAATGAAGGATGGGTTTTACCATCAGTTAACAGTTCTTCTCCAGAAAGCGCGTTCGACAGATATTGTAGTACTGCAATAACTATCGGGGGATAAGTCTACTTTCGATTGCGTCCAAACAATTGGCTTCTATCATTTTTCGTAGGTTGTTTAAAACCCGAGAACGATTGACTCGCGAGGAGCAGGCTGGTTTTCGTTCTGGTCGAGGATGCATTGATCACATCTTCACACTCCGCCAAATGTTAGAACACCGTCATACTTATCGCAGGCCAACAATCGTAGTGTTTCTTGATATCAGGGCGGCCTTCGATTCATTGGACAGGACTGTTCTCTGGGATTGTCTATTGAAGAAGGGTGTGCCTGAGAAGTTCATTAACATCTTAAAAGCCCTGTATACGAACACCTCAGGCAGAGTGAGGGCATACAACCACCTTTCTCCCTTGTTCCATTCGAGCAGTGGGGTTAGGCAGGGTTGCCCGATCTCACCATTCCTCTTCAACTTTGCTATCGACGACATCCTGGAAACAGCTCTGATGGATGTAAGTAATGGCGGTGTGGATATGTTGCCTGGAGAACGACTTCTCGACCTCGAGTATGCGGATGATATTGTCTTACTGTGCGATAATGCTCAAGCCATGCAATTCGCACTTAATCAGTTGGCAATCAGTGTCCGCAGGTACGGCATGTGCTTTGCACCCTCCAAGTGCAAAGTACTCCTACAAGACTGGCAGGATTCTAATCCTGTACTCACCCTGGATGGTGAGCAGATTGAAGTAGTTGAGAAGTTCGTGTATCTAGGTAGCTATATAAGTGCTGGTGGTGGCGTGAGTGATGAGATTGATGCACGTATAATAAAAGCCAGAGCGGCTTATGCCAATCTGGGCCATCTTTGGCGCCTTCGTGATGTTAGTCCGGCTGTAAAAGGTCGGATCTACAACGCGTCGGTGAGAGCAGTTTTGCTCTATGCTTGTGAAACCTGGCCTCTCCGAGTTGAGGATGTTAGACGTCTCTCTGTGTTCGATCATCGTTGTCTCCGAAGGATTGCTGACATCCAGTGGCAGCACCATGTTAGTAATGCAGAGGTTCGGCATCGTGTGTTCGGGCGCCGAGACGATAATTCAATTGGTGTCACCATCTTGAAACACCGACTTCGGTGGCTTGGACATGTTTTACGAATGTCGTCCCAGAGACTTCCACGTCGTGCATTATTTGCCGACCCTGGGACTGGTTGGAAAAAGCGGAGAGGAGGTCAGTGTATGACATGGTGTCGTGGCATGAAAGAAAGCTGCAAAGGGCTAGCTTCCGTTGGTCCTTCACGACTCCCTGGTTGGGGTCCGAGAGATGGTGCAACACAGTGGCTAGAGACGTTATCAGATATGGCTCAGAATAGAAGCCAGTGGCGATCCTGCCGCAACCTTCTTTTACTTTCTACATAAAGAATGGTTCTAACTTTCTTAACTGAAAGAGTCTTCTGGTTGTACATTTCAGTCCGCCTTATCTTTTCATCCCTTCTCTTGCTACTTTCATTATTTTGTGTGGCGCATATGTACCTGGTGCCCTTTTGTACCAATATATATGTGTTTAAATAAATAAATAAATAAATTATAACCTTGTAACCTGCGTCATTTGTCAATAGCTGCCGCTTCTCTTTGCCTTCTGATTTTATGCACCGTTTAGATTTGTATTATAACGGTTATCGAGGTAGTCGATTAGCGAAGCATGACACTACACCTACATCTCATATATCGACAGAGAAATATATGCATACGAAAAATATAATGTCAAAAGTACTAAATGATAAGAGTACTATATTTCTGGTTAATCGTATTTCTTCAACTAAATCACGCACATACAAAACATATGAACCACACATGACTCTTCTTTCTTCGATTGGTTCATTTCCAGCTCTTATCAATTTTGCTGTACTATTTACCATCAACCACTATATATTAAGTAGCTAAAACCCTAAAAGTATCTAACGATGATGCCCTTAGAGGCATGAGGGCAGTTATCACTTCCCGGTTGCCCACACCGTGGAAGGGTTTTTCTAGAGGTACCTGAAAATGAAATTGGGTTAGAAGTGGTCTTAATGACCTGAGAGTGACCGCAATGCCCAAATGACAACTGCTTGAGGTCGGTAACATACGACCGTTTTGTGAGTGGTTTTCGTGTTAGATCCGTACTTGTTGGGACCTTACCGCCGGAGACGGATATCCGTGGGATGAGGCGAGGTGTGCATTTTTAGGATCAACCTTTTCTAACCCCGCCCCTCATTGTGTGAAGGCAGCATCGCTATTATTCTGATTGTCTGAAGGAAACACCTTACTGTTGCCGCACCTCTGTACAGTCAAAGGTACGACTTCGCCCTCAAACCTTGGGTTTGCTGCTTTTAGTCTTAATGTGCTTCAATCGACCTACCTGAGATGGTTGAACCTTGAGGAACGATTCTTCGAGCCAGTATAGCTCGATTGGTTCATCATGATAGACAAGCCCGACCATCATGTCAATGTGGAAGCAACGGTCGGGATCTAATGATGATACTAATAACTTATCGAATATTTAGGAAAATGTCTTCAAATGCTTCACAAAATGTTAACCCACTAAAGATGAAATTGTATTAACTTACTATAAAAGTAGCAAGGGTAATGATAGTTTAGAAAGTCGAAACATTTGAACTAGATATTATTCATCTACGATTTTTCATCATTTTCACTGGAAATTAAGGAACGATAGTCTAACATTTCTATTAATTGTTGGATTTCTTTGATAGCATCTCGCCGCATAGATCTAACATCTTCATTTCCATCACTTTTTAAGTTATCCAAACTCAGTATTAATTGTTCCAAGTTTTCCATAAGATGTTTATATTCTTTACTCTGAGGTGCACCTTTAAATTAAAGAATGATATAAATAAAAGCAGAAACCTTCAGAAATATTGAAGAGTTTGGTAACATTTTACTTCTATAAAGCGTCCGGTATTATAGGGATTGATTTTAAATAATTTAACTCAATGACCAAGTACAGATTTTCATAGTTGATACTGAGTGACACGATGTGTTTTAAGAGTTTATGGTACATGTTATTATTATTATTTGAACACATAAATATTGGTACAAAGGGGCACCGAATACATATGTGCCACACAACTCACTTGATCTGTGTATGGGCTGTGATACTGACCTGGTGCCAAAACAGAAGCTGGTGATTTACTTAGAGCACCACACCCAGAGCCTTCGACCTAAAGATCTGATCCACAAGACAGTGGAGCATCGTCAGTAGATGCAGTCCCATGGTAGCCAGTGACCAACAATTGGTTCATACGCCATTTGTTTCCTCAGGATACTGGAGCTCATGTGCACCATTGGTTTGGAATCAATGTTTTCCAATTCTCCTATGTGGACTTTCCGTGTCCACCAACCCGGTTAAAGAGCTGGACATTCGCTTTTCGTCCTCTCAATTTCGTAAACAACCGTAATGCCACGAGAAGGCAGTGAGTAGGACTTCCCTGGCAGAGGCTGTATACGCGTGGCCACGAGTCTTAGTTAAGCACCCGATAATTATTGAGGCTAGTATTTTAGATGCTATATTAGTCAAACTAATCCCTCTATGGTTAATACAGGATGATTTTGACCCCTTCTTATATATTGGGACAATCAGTGATTGCGATCAGTCAGATGGGATTACGTCCAACTCCCAGATTTTAGCTAATATATTAGTCAATCTAAACGCTAAAACTGGACGACTATCCTTAAAGACCTCTGGGGCTAATCCATCTGCTCTTCCTCGTTTTAGATTAGCTATGGCTTTTTGAACTTCAATTAGAGTCGGCGGACCTTCCAAATATATATTCAAACTCATACATTCTTGACTTCTAATTTAACTAGGTTGGTATCCTATCAATATAAAGGTGTTACAGACAAAAGTATTATCAAACCCTGAATATTTGTGGCATCCTTAGAATTAGAACTAAGTTCGGAATCTAGGAAATAAAGAGTTAATGAAAACATATAATTGTAACCGCTTTTTAATATTATCGTCCAACGTCTTCAGTCATGAGTTACGATTACCAACTCATATCACTTAGTCAGTTAACCCAAGTGGATATACATTATTAAAACAATAATTAAATGTAAAAGAAATTACATGTGAAATAATCTCAGCAGTTGCCAGTCAGCTAAAACGTAGGACTAGGCACATATATGCATCGTTTCAATAGTTGAGATTTAAATGATTTTGTAGTCGTGACTTTGTTCATTTCCTTGGCTTTGGATCAGTTAGGCCAACGAAATATTGAATTTACTTAGATTTTAATCGCTGAAATTATTTTAAATGTAATGTCTTCTATACACTTAGCGCCCAATTTCTGCTAAATCGTCCGAATTTCGGAGATTGGTTACATACGATAATAACCACCGCGTTATATCTTCTACAAATTTAAGGATTGAAGTGAGGAAGTTCGGAAAGTGATTGGAGGTGATTCTCGATGTTTCTTAGATCATAAGTAAGGAATTTAGTTACTAGAAAAAGCATACTGACAGAAATGCCTCGGTCAGTCGGTAATAAACAACATGGAAGTGTATAGTGAATGGAGTGGAAACGCCACATTCACTTAACACAATACTTTTATAAAATTTGAACCTTCATGTGCAAGTGAAAAGTAAAATGCTAAATAAGTACACTCACCATTAAAACAATCGATTGTTGGCTGTAGTGAGCGTGCCCTCGACATTACATCTGCGATTGTTTTTTCACAACTAGAGCCACATACATCAGACGAGTTCTTAACGTGAAAACTATTAATATTGCGTGAAACCAACCTGTTCCGAAAAAATTGATGTATTCGTTCCGTTTATTGGAGATGAATATTCTTGATTTGTTACAGGATGATTCCATTGCGTAGACCGAGTGTTATGATCCACAAAATAAAAGTGCCCTGATTTCTCATCAAGTCTCATTTCCCAACCAGGAGGTAGAGATTCTCTGGGATTCATTTTTGAACTTAGTGGATACACTAAACTCCAAATTTACCTATATTTGGAGAATGAACAAGGTTTTAAAAACCAAATCACTCGGTATTGTAAGGGTGAGTTTGGAATAATCCTTTAAAGATACACAACCATGACGATAGTGGGAATACAGATTGAGTAGTGGTGAGGTTAGGTGCATCTCATCATATAAAAAAAGTTTAATAGGTTGACGAAACTTTATCGAGTGAGATGGTTGAAAACTGTTGCAACTGTTGTAACTTTCTACCCTGACGTTCAAAGATGACCAGAATAAAAAGTAACAGGTGACTAGACACAGATATGACATCAGTCTGTGAAGACACTTCTGGTTTGATACATTCAGGGAGGTGTGAACTTCTTGTTTGGAGTTCTCGTGATGACCAAAATATATGGTTGATAACACCAACAGCTGAGGTAGTGAAGATGAAGTCATTTTTCCTCTCCTAAATTTTGAGTCGTAATAATTTACATTTCCTACCCTAAAATATGACATTCTTATTATACTATATTCCTTGTTTTCCTTATTATAATTAGTATTACCGCTATGGTAATTCATTTGCTTTTAATCTTACCAGTTTACTGTCTATCCTAATGGACTTATGTTTCTCACCTATTACGTTTTTTAAAGTGAGACTTCTACGGGTCTCAGTAAATCAACGTTAGACACTAAGTCGGGAAACATTTACTTGAATCATTGTACTGCAAAAAAGTATTTGAAGAATTGGTCGGTTTTAAGTAGTGACTGGTATCCCTGAATTCTGATCTGCTAGATTGGATATTTTACTAGTGGGTTTTTCATGAAAATCTGATGTTTAGACTAGATATCAGTAGGTATTTTACAGGATGACCAGGAGCGTTTATAACGTTATAAACCTAATGAGAACATGAAGTTACAAGTCTTCACAATCTTACATGTCTGTCCTTGGTATCATAAATGTTAGATAACCAGCTTATCCAGTAGGTTCTCGTAAGTCAACTAAAAACACGCTTAAGGTACCTGCAAAAGTCAACATGGAATACCTTACACTTTTCAATTTCAAACCGTCAGCAAAGGGATTTCATAACCATCCGGTAGCCAGTAAAATCTTGGAGCCGAAATTTAAAGGTGGGAGTAAACAAGTTGGGTATGGAGAAAAAATGGAGCCGAATTATGAATGCGTAACTAGACATATTTATCATGCAGTTTGACCCACGGTTTTAATCCTAATCTCCCGATTTCGGGGAAAATTTTATCTAGTTTTATGACCAGATCCGATGAGGCAGGTCATTTGTGTGCATGATGAAGAGCAGTGACTCTTACACTCCTATGTTATATTATGCGATATTCTGTTTCTTTATTAAGACCATAACAACAAATTTCCAGGTAGAAACACCAACACGTGTACTAAATAAAAGAAGACTCGAAAACATCTAGAACACGTAAACAGTTGTATAAAACACCAAATGGGAACAGAAACTTAGCGTAAAATTACTAGGTATTTGAAACTGTAAGACTTAATTAAGCTCAATATTTAAATACTAGGCAGGTCAGTGTCAAAACACTGCTGGCCGTTTTCAGTTGAATATTTGCGCCAGATCTCTGTTCGCATTTTGATTGGTTTACTCCCACAAGCATTTGACTTTCAGTCAGTTTCTTGTAATCTTCCACATTTGCGCGGTCGGATCGTTGTTAATGGAATCCTTTGTATGAATGACAATTGCTACTGTTGTTCATCGTGCGCGATCCACTACTATTTGTTTCAATCTGTCACGACTCCATAGCAGGATTAAATATAGCTGACTTCGAATTCTCTGTTGGTGAGTTGACTTCGTTACTAATCCGAAACCGTAGTCCTGTTGTATTTCTGAAACATATTGTAGTAAGTACTATCCATCTAATAATGTCTTATAAACGGATTGGTATCAGGTTTTTGCTAATTAGTCCAGAGACTATTGATATGTAATTAAACAATGTTATCAATTTAGCAACTTTGGTAGTCTATTGCAATATTCGTGGACGTTATCAGACAGTTGAGTCAAATATCTAAAAGTGTTCATTCTTAGATAGGTCTAGACGCGCGCTTTACGAATGGGAAGGTTAGTCCTAACGTGATTTGTATTACTCAGACTTTGTTGTGACTTTGCGTAAAAAAGTAACATCTTGGCCGAAAAAAAATCCGTCCTGAGCCTAACGTTCGGTAGACTAATTTACTGCTTAAGTTTTATCTGAGCTATTAATTGGCCGTAGTTTTGCCTCGGCTACAATCCGATCTTATGGTTTTCCACGTAATAGGTAATAACTTAAAAATTCCACAAATATTCGGAGTTTGACAACGTCTTTACCAGTGACACCTTTATTATCGAAATATGCCAGCCCAGTCAAATCGTAAGTCAGACGTAAAGAAGTTCGAAGTTATTGTATGTGTAAATAAATCCCCAAAAGAAATAGTTCTGTAAGTGTTCGACATCGGTTGCTGACCATGTTAGTTTAAATAGACTCGTTTAGCTGAAGGCGCTTAGTCATGCATCCGCACCAGATCACGGTTTGGAACGGCGTGCTCAACATCTCCTGCTACCACTAGCCAGTGTAGCTGTAAGTAATTCCCCAAAATCAATAGCTTTCTAAGTGTTCGACATTGGATGCTGACCACGTTGTTTAAGTGGACTTGTTTAACTGAAGGCTTTCGGTCATGCATCCGTACCAGATCACGTTGCAACTCGGCGTGGGACACAGCTCCTACGTTTCCATAGTCAGCTAAGAACGAACGTCTTTCGATATATTGGTAACGTATCAAATATATCTTTCCCACCTCTTCTCGTCTGACTTCTGATTTCCTTTGACCGGGAACGACCGATTATAGAAGATACTACTGGTTGCTAGTTGTTAAACTAGAATATTCGTCGTATCTTTAGTGGTGAGCCTTACGTGATCTGGTACACCAAGCCAATAAACTGTGAGTCCGTTCCTTTTTGGAATATTATTATTCATTGTTATTCTTTATTCGAATTTTACATATTGTGATACACTTTTTTCGCGCGTTTTCTCCCGGATATATTTTAATTAGACACTTTTCGTTCTTTATATTACTATGACGGAACACTCACCTAAGGTTTTAAAGTTAAAGTCTATTCCCCCTATTTCGATTCAGTTAACGCCATTTTGGCCCGACAATATCGAGTCCTGGTTCTGTTACACAGAAGCTGATTTTTACATGCACGGAATCACGAACTCGCGCACACGATACCTCGCGGTAGTTAAGGCATTACCGAGCGAATTTATCAGGTACGTAACGCCTAGTATGTTTACTAGTGATGTTCCGGAACCTTACGAAATTCTCAAACAATCGATTTTATAGCGCGGAGATATAACTGATCGACAACGGTTAGACCAACTCTTTAACAATATCGACCTGCAACATGGTTCTGCGATAGACATGTTGCTAAGAATGAGATAAGTTATCGGTCAACGAACTTTCGATGATAGCCTATTCATACAACTTTTCTTGTCTAAACTCCCGAAACAGGTCTCTCTACAACGAGAGACAGATAATCCCGACTGGTGCTGGTATCATAACCAGTACGGTAAGTCTTCCAGAAATTGCAGGAAACCCTGCAATTATCCGACCTCAAAATCGAATGACACAAAATACAGTTCGGGAAACTTCTCAGCCGGCACGCGTTAACGGCAACCGTATCCGACGAACACAGCCGCCTCTTATATGTCACGGATGTGACTACGAAAGTTCGCTACCTCGTCGACACCGGCGCAGAAGTTAACGTTCTTCCATTTCGCAGTTTACTTCAGACATACAACACATTTCTGGAGCAAACAATGTAGTTTCAGACGCCTGGTATCGAATAAGTTACTTGAACAGTTTCCAAGGGATTGACCTTCTTAAACTCGCTCAGCTTCAAAAAGAAGACATTGATCTTCAGCATGAGTTATCCACGACATCTCTTAAACTAAATATTAAGCAGATGGGAACAGGTAAGGAAACCTTACTGTGTGACACATCTACAGGTAGGGATCGTCCAATAGTACCAAAACATTATCGACGCAACGTCTTCAATACGTTGCACAATCTTTCTCACCCAGGTGCTCGTGCAACAGTCAAACTTATAGCCGAATGGTTTTGCTGGCCTGGCATGAATAAAGACGTGAGTGAGTGTGCACGCTCCTGTGTAAGCTGCCAGAAATCTAAGGTCATAAGAAACAACAAATGTCTCTTAGGCTCTTTCAAAACACCTGACGCTCGTTTCGACCACGTTCACCTAGATTTGGTAGGACTGTTATCCGATTCAAACGGATACTCATATCTCTTAACGTGCGTAGACCGTTTTACTCGATGGCCAGAGGCAGTACCGATTAAGGACATTACTGCTGAAACAGTGGCTCGCGCTTTCGTCGAACGATGGGTAGCGAATTTTGGCTGCCCTTCAACCATCACTACAGACCGCGGACGCCAGTTCGAATCTGGACTTTTCCGTTGTCTGACCTCACTATTAGGAATCACGCGCTTCCGAACGACCGCCTACCACCCACAAGCAAACGGGTTGGTAGAACGTTTTCATAGACCACTTAAAGCTTCATTATCAGCCGCAAACGTTTCACAGTGGACAGACGCTCTTCCACTCGTCTTGCTAGGTATACACAATGCAGTGAAGGCTGACATTGGATACACGGCATCTCAACTCGTTTACGGAACGACATTCCGACTCCCAGGAGAATTCGTGGATCCTTCAGCTTCTTCATTGAACATAGACCTAAACTCTTACACGAGTAGGCTTACAAACGTTATGCGTTCAGTTAAACCTGCTCACACTCGACCTCAATCAACTGATGTTTTCGTTCAACCTGACTGACGACATAGTACACACGTCTTCGTTCGTCGAGACTCACATCGACGACCTCTCGAATCAGCTTACGAAGGACCCTTCAAAGCTCTTCAACGTGAACCCAAGTACTATATAGTCGATAAGAACGGCACGAACGATAGCATCAGTAT